CAAATATTGAAATAACATAAAGGTTTGTGCAGGGTATATATGCTTTTCCTTAAAAGTAGATTTTCAATCCTAACCATTCATTTTGGCCAAGGCCTTTGTATTTTTTTAGGGGAAAGGTTTGCTCTAGTCAACCAAAAAAAAAAAAAAAATCCTATTTATCCATTATTTTATCAAACACATCACCTATCTCACCCAATTACCCAAAAACATTTATCCCACGCACACTCACACACAAACATGCATTAAATCTTAACCATATGAGGCTTAATTATATTACACTCATTTTTTGGTTTAATGCATGTGTAATGATTTAGAAACATTTGCTACCCTTCATGGGCAACAAGGAATTAAACACAAAATGTACTTGGCCTTATTTCATTAGAAGTGATCATGTGGAATTTTAAGTTTCTACGAGTGTTCATAGCATGATACAAAAAAATAATTTGTTTATGTGCATATAAGATAGTATTATATTGGTTTAGAGTAACCACCCATAAATGGTGATAGAATTATGAATTTATATTAAGAAGGTATATTTTAAAGTAATGAAATAATTCGTTTTTTCTTTTGGTCGGCATGAAATAATACATCAGACTGTGAATTTTTAATCTGAACTAACAATTTTTTTTCCCGGGTTTGAAACTACCATGTTATACTCTTAATCACACCCCTATTTCCTTAGTAGTTATTTCATGATTTCTATCTTCAAATTGGGAATGATTAAAATGCCTTCATATTCACTTAACATCACCAAAAGTAAGTCTGAAATAGATAAAGAAATTAGAAAATGACTAAAACAATATCGAATTAAAGAATTAAAGGGCAAAAATAACAAAATCAAAAGTAAAAGGATCAAAATATTTGAAATAAAGGGGGGGCAGAGGGAGATGATCGTACCTCACACTGTCACTTATATTGGCTGTCGAAAACAAATGCCTATAATTCCAAAATTGTCTCCTAGGCACTGGAACTCAATCTTTGTTAAACTGTTCATGCTGGCTGTCGAAAACAAATGCCCACAATTCCAAAAACATGTCTTGTAAGCATAGAAGTGACAATTTGTCTCGATTCCCGACAGACCTCACGACGATCCCACCAAAGGGGTGGGGCAGCAAGGCGACAGGAACAAAGGCAGAGGACATTTTTTTCTTGCAAAATTATATGGGGAATTTTCCCTAACCACAAGGCTGCAAGTATCCCAACCCCACAAAAAATTAAAAAATACATAAATTAATTTTATTTTAAATTTAATTTAATTCATTATGTCAATACATAATATACATTTCAAACTCAAATCCAATTCAATAAAAATTAAACTTAATCCAAGTATATTAACTTAACTATTTACATTGAATTAATCTTTATATATGTTCGAAGTAAACCTTTTGATTTAATTATTTATATTGAATTGATTTTTATTTATATTTAAATAATTTATATTTAATTTTATATTTAAATAATTTATATTTAATTTTATATTTAAATAATTTAAGTTAATTATACTTAAAATTTTATAATTTTATTCATTATAATTCAATATTATTAATTATACATAAAAAAATTTATATTATAATATAAATTAATAGGAGATGAGAATCCGACTTTGATTCCCCGTAAAAAATAGAGAGTAAAATTTACTTCCATTAAAAATTCTACAAAAATCCCTATCCTCGTCGTTCACAAGGACAATGACAGGAATCCCAGCCCAAGGAGACTCATTGTCACCCCTACGTAAGCAGCGGAATTCAATCTTTGCACGGACGTGGCAACTTCACATTTTAGGGTTGAAAATAGAAGTGGCTCGAAAAAATGCGGTGAGCGTGGATCGAACACGCGACCTTCAGATCTTCAGTCTGACGCTCTCCCAACTGAGCTATCCCCGCTGTGTGGTGGTGTGTGGCGATTATATGTGGAAATTCACGATTCAATAGAGCTCAAACAAATAGAAAATAAGACTCTGTGGCACGAAGAACATGTTAGACATTTGGATGAAGTGTGATTGAAATCAGCACGCATGAGCATGAAAGGTGATTCTTTCATTTTTCTTCCCGAGATCATCATTCCCTATTCATTTTCATTTAATAATAAATTAAAGAATACTGTTAAAAATGTTAACTAAAATTAAAAAGAGAGAATCACTATGAGTTTTTATTTTTTTTCTTTTTCTAGACAATGATACATAATTAAAAGATTTTCTTCTTTTTGAAGTTAAAAACGGAGATTAAACACTTTTATTGAAGAGAAATGAACAACAACATCGACAACAACACAGGGACCTAATATGAAATGGCAATCCCACCCCAAGACACACAACCATATCTACAAACACGCAACCACCCTTCCCCTGTCTTACAGATACTATTATGCTCTTATGGTTATTTATGGAACAAACTACTTCAAAGTTCAAACTTGAATCTCCACTGGCCATCTATACATCTCCTCTTGTGGCACTGGAAGAATCAGGGTCAGCAATCCAGTTGCGGAGTCATGGTTGAACTCTGTCTCAGTATTGCCCACGCTGCACTTCAATGGATGTTGAGAAGAGTAAACACCAAACCTTCCGCTGCCCCTTACTTTGAGTGCAATGGTCGCGGTTGGAGACCTGTTGTTACTAAGGGAAGTTGTCAGTTCGGAGGAGACTTCACCATCAAATAGCTCAGGTTTCTTGTCTGATGCCATGTGTATTTCCATATGCTCCACAGCACCGCTAGAGTTCAACATGTCAAGCAGGCCAATTGGTGCAATTGAAATGTTGGAGGCAATCTCCTGCATCATATAGATAAGGCAGTTCAGTTAGCACTTTATTGTAAGATTAACAAAGCTTCATCAATGCAAAGAGAAAACTGGAAGAGAGTCTGACCTTGAGTGGACAGAAGTGGAACAGTTCATACTCAAGAACTTTAAGGGTTACTGGCACTGAAACGTCTTTCGGTAATCGTACCACATCCCCTGAAATCAAGAAGAAACTTCTTTAGCATTAACTGATATATGATTCTAGAAGGCTTATCAATCTAACTAGTAGGTTTCATGAAGGATTGCCTTAACTCTTTAAGTGGAATAGTGGAATATAATAGCCAAAGACAGTCTAGAGGTGAATTGCAAAGAGAGTAATTACCACTTCTATGAGCATAAACAACGGTCTCTCCTTGCCAATCTGCACCAGCAATCTGAGCCAATTGGTCAACATCAGTGGCACGGACAGAACCACTAAGAGTACCAGGAGAGGCATCATGAATGCGGGTTTTCTTAGCAACTTTGCACCAACCAGCACCTTGACAGTTGAAGACACCAACCACACCAGAGCATTTGTTCACATTCCATATCTTGAGTAAGCTGCACAATACAATTTCGTTTGTGAAGCTGGCACATTTAAAGAAAAAACAGGGAGTATAAGACCCAGCTAGACAGAATGACACCAACCTGACCCCATCTCTGGCTGGATCAGCAAAGAGGCAATCACGAGTGGGCCTGCCAGGAAGTTGGGCACGGAGCACTGATCCATCAGGAAGAACCAGCTTCCTTAGGAGCTCAAAATTGTGATTGCCAGGCTTATCACTGCAACAGAAATGCAAAAGATCAGAATATTTTTACTTCAATCTTCACAATCACCTATTATAGAAATTACAATTCAACTTTAGCATTAAGAGCACCTGACATAGATTGCACATCCACCAATTGCACGAGCAGCAGCATGATACTCTGCAGCTGCGTGCAAACTCTGTAAATCATAGATTCCTTTGTCAGTATAAGAGACTGCCTCACCGATTAGCCTTTTTTAAATTTTAATGTCAAAACGTTATCCCTTTCTCCTAAAGCATCTCAAGGAGAAGTCATTGAGAAAGGAGTCAGAATTGTCTTTAAGCATATTAATAATGTTTGTCAAAGTTATCTCCCTCACAGCACATAACCATGCATTTTGAGGGAACAAAAGTTAAGTTTTACTTACATGGAACATATCCCAGTCAGGCTGCATAAACTCTCCAAGGAAAAGAGTGTTGTAAGCCACTGAGGAAATGTGGATAGTGTGTGAAGCAGGGTCTCGAGGATAGAAGTCATCTGAAGCTCTGACCACAGCAGTCTGCTTGGCACTATACATTCCATCAGTATTGTGGCACATGCAAGCTATGCATCCATTATCAGGGAAGTTTCGCGAAATTGAAGCTTCAAGGGCCTGGAGATAACTACGGGTGAGAGACACTCTGCCACCATGGCCAGCACCAAGCGTCTCAATAATGTTTTGCACATCAACCTTCACTCCATCAACTCCACATGAAGCCAGGTAAGCATGGAGCTCATTGTAGAAATTGAAAACCTTCTTCGGATGCACCAAACCAAGGCCATGAACTGCAAGGCTGTCCATGACTATGTCCGGCTGGTTGCCTAAAACACCAGGGGACTGAACAGGATATGCCAATGCTGTATCATAGTGCTCCATACCAGTAGCTGCAGGTTTGACTCCACCCCAGTAACCAGCCAAAGCATGCCAAACATAAACAAATCTGTTCATAAAGGGAGAAAATGTCAACTCACAATGTTAAACTTAAGGGGGCAAATGTTCAGCGTTGTACTAATAAAAGATATGGGCACAATGCAATACAGATCAAAGTAGCAGAGAATGCACAAAAGAAAGAGAACAACTTGGATTACGTACTTCACATTGTGATGGTGCTTAGCTTCATCTACAACATGTTTTAAGCCAGAAACTTGTTCATTGTTCTGGCCATTCTTTTGGAACTTGGCATTCTCTTTGATTCCTGTCAACCTACTAGCAAACCTACAAGGAAAAAATTGACAGAAAATGAGTACCAAAGTTCTTTAATCACAACAAAAGTGGAAAAAATACTAAAACAATACTTGGGTTGTGATGAAGAGTCATATGACAAGTATGTAATATTCTTGCTGAGAACAGAGTGAAATGTCAATACTGAAGCAAAATCCACTACTATGATAAGCACTTAAGCAGTAACCAACAGATAGGATTTACCTCCCATAATCTAATTAAGCAATCATACATGCTGGCTCTAACCATCAAGGTGTTCTAATTCAAACAATTCAAATTTTTGGCCATAAATCATTCATTAAATACATTTAATCCCACTCTCTAGTTCAAGTTGTAAAGCTAGCTTGGTTCCAAGTGATCCACAGTTCTCAAGTGCATAAACAAAGCAACAATTCTAAACTTAGTTGGCAAATGCAATGCAAGCACTATTACTAAACCTCCTTGGTTTTAAATTAGTCAGTTTCCCCAGCAAGAGATCTTGTAGCTAAGGAGCTAAAGCAAAGCATTATGTGATATAACAAATATGATGATCTTAGATGTGTTCACAAAGCCTCCACCTCCAGTAGTTTAGTTGATTATAAATGACACTTAGGTATCAGTCCAACACAAATTTGTACCCCGAAAAAAAAAAAAAACAGAACTCAGAGAGAGATCTTACTGTGATCCTTCTTGTACAACACAATCACTCTCCTTTGTCTTATTCTCAATCTGCTGCCAACCATCATCTATTATGAGAAACCGTGGAGGAGCCCCTCCCTCAGACAGACTGCAATTACAGGCAGAAATAATTCAGTTACAATTCCCATGATGATTACTGGAGTCACTCACCACACAGAACTTAGAACCAGCTGACTTGGCTATAATTTCTAAATTACCTTTTAAGGCCTTCCTCAACACCCTCAGCTGTGACATCAGTATAGAAAGCATCCCATGTGCACCAGCCAAACCAATCAAGGAAAGAAGGCAACTACACAGAATCAACATAAGCACATGATATGAAATTTATTACATCCAAACAAGCTTCATATGTGAGCAATTTATAAGAATAAGCTGAAATCCCAACCTTCTTCTTCTCTCTGTGAAGGAAGGTTTGCATGTATTTCTCCACAGCCCTGGTTCATAAGAGGTACTCATTAAAATCATAAGAAACCATGAGGAACAAAAGGAAAATAAAATCATTTTCTTGAAATATGACTTTAATTTGTCTTACTGCAGAACATGTATTGAAAAAACTTTGCTTTATTTAGTTTTTCAAAAACTTCAATACAGGAAGAAAAAGAGGACAGATATTTAAAGAGATTGAAGTTATGGACTTACTTTACAGCCTGATTAATAACTTCAAAAGGATTAGTCCCCGCATGCATGTATACAAGGTAAAGCCCTTGGTTCGTTTCAACAGCACTATCTCCTGCAAAACCACAAAAAAGATTGCTTTGGTTCTTTCAAACTTGACCCTCTCTATCTATTTTCTTCCTAAATACTTTAAACAGCATTAATTAGATTCATTTGCACTGTAGTCATTAATGGTATCTCCAGCCTGAATTGTCTGCACAAATAACAGCTCCAGGCATATATTCATATGGTTAGTGTTCTTCAGAAGTAGCAAACAGGATGGAACTGAATCACCAGAACATATGGCCCTAAGTAAAAGGAGGACAGGCAGACTTTAAATACATTAGCCTATATCAGATTCTTTTTGATTTTCCATAGACTACTCACCACTCTCAAGGCATATCTCAATCTCATTCTTATCATTGCCTTGCAGAACAGCACGAAACTGGCCTTCAAGGAGGGGGAGGAAGACAGTGTAGACTGTTGGGGCTTCTTCAGCGCCATCCTTGCTCTCTACAAGCATGAATTGAGTCTCCAAAGGAACATCTTTCCCACATGTGCCCATTCTCTGGGTCATCCACCATAGTTTGAATCGGAAACAACACAAGAATCGAAGACCCCTACATTTGCAAAAGAACTAACACCATTAATCATCTAACCCATACTGTTATTTACCTAAAAAACAAAAAAAAAAAGGTCTAACCCATACTCTTCTCTACAGCACAGGAAGCAGAACTAGCCAGTAACATGCATGTAACTCGTAATTTGTGAAATCCAACAAGCATGGATCAAGCAAAAATGACTTGATGTTCCTACCATGGTTAATGAAAGTTTGGCATAGTTAAGGAAATCTTGTTATAGTTGAATATAGGATAGAAATGGGAACAAAAAGTGGAAGAGGAATTTCTAAGCAACTTTAGTGTAGGATAATAAAAAAGCTTAAGTTGGCAATTAAAATTAAACTAAAAAGGATTGCACTTTTAGCTACATATAAAGAATTAACATCAAACACCAATATGTTTCAATAGTAATAGTTGTAGTTGTCTGTCCATAACTCAATTAAAGCAAACAAATAAAAATGAAAAACAGTAAACGTTGAGGAAAAAAAAAGGTAATAGGGCAACTGCTTACTCTAAAGCACCTATGGGAAAGACATGAAGACTTTTGCTATGTGAAGCGGTGGCACCAATGAAAGCACCAGAAACAAGCCCCACCCCTGATCCAGGAGTCAAGATGATGTTGTCTGGAACTCCAGTCAGGATGGTCTTCCCATGAACCACAAGCTTCCCATCATTGATGGAGATTTTCGATGTGACAGTCATTGTTGATGAGCACTTGATAACTGCAAAATAAAAAAAACACTATTATAAACAAAACCCATAAACGATATACAGTAAACAGATATTAGAATTTAGAAACATGACACTTCCAAATTCTATGTACATCAGAAGCTAGAACCTAGAAATCAGTCAATAAATCAAAGAAGAAACTTGCATATAAGGGATTGAAACAGAAAGGGACTTTTGTTAAAATCAAGGTTCTAAAATGGACCTAGAGGCTTATAATGAGTGCAGAAGCGCATCCCTGTAAAAGGGGTGCCGCCATGGGACTTCCCTGAAGGAGGGAGCCGGCACCTCAATTGATGAACTGAAACAGTCCTCAGCATTCTCACCTACCCATTTCGGGAAATGAAAGAACCAACCAAAATGGGAACTGAAAAAACCCCAAAAAAAAAAATTATTATTGGAAATTCATTCCCTCGAAGAAATGAAAATTGACGCACTTTCTAGGCCTACTCTTCCTCGTCTTACATTATTTAATAAAGAAATTGTCTTGAAAAAGAAGAGTAGGAATGCTGGAATCGGTCGAGTTTTCTTTCAATATGGTTCTGTTTATTCCTTTTTCACTTGTCCTTCAGTTTTGTGTGGGTTTAGGTCGGTAAAGGCGGAGTCTTTGGAGAGAGCTTTTCCCCTTCGGTTCCGCACATCTCCAGATTCTCTTAAAAATATAGCAGTTCCATTATTCTATTATTTTCTTCATTTTCTATTTTCCTTTGATTTTTTTGGTTAAGAAATATCTTTAAAAAACCTGAATTGTTCATGATAATTGTATTAAATTATAAAATATAAATTATTAAATTTTTAATACAAAATTTTTTAATTAAAATTAAAAATTATAGGAGCGTTATTAGAAATTATCTAAGAGAAAATGGAAAAGAAGAGAACTTGAATTGAAAAAATGAATATTATAGAAAGAGACCAATAAAATTTTAGGAACACGCTGGTGATTAAAAAAAAATTGAGTTTCCTCCTTCGAAAATTAATTTTCATTTTTGCTTCTTAAAACCTGCAAAGAAGAGGAAAAGGCTAGCGACGATAGAAAGGAT